GTAGGCATGTCGACTTGCTGTAATTGTTTCTTAATTTGAATATAATTATATTGCTTTATTATACTCTATCAGCTATGGGCCTTCTTTATTGTAAGGTTATTTATCTCAATCCTAGAAGTCTTGCACCTGTGACGCTGCTCCCCGTAGCAGGTCTCTGTTTACATCTGACATGCACGAGGTAGAACACTGCCACTTCGGAGGCGATGTGATTTTATTGACATTTTCCACAGTCTCCTCTTACAACAGGCATGGGACAAAATTAAACATTTAAACCTACTTGGCCCCTGAACTAATGTGGTTCTAAAAAAAATCTGTAAAAATACTAAATAATAATTCTGTAATTAAGTTAAATAATAAGTTTCATATTTTACAAGAAAAAATTATCCTTGTAACTGTAAGCCTACGCCTGAACAACCAGTTTGCGAAAACTTGCGCGTCTGTAATGCAATGCACCCATGCTTTTGCAAGTAGCTTAAAACGATGGTAAATTGAACAAATAATCTTTATATGTGCTATAATGGAAGCTTAAGCTTTGACAGGAAATGGGAAATAGGCGATCGTAGTAAAGTAAACGTCTCTCACCATATTTTATGTGGTAGAGCCGCGCTGCAGCTGTATTATAAGTGCAACACGAAAAGGTCGGCTCGACCAGAAAGACATAGCCTATTTGGAAAAAGAAGTGGTTAGATCTATCGCAGAAGTGACAAATGAAACGGAATGAACCTGTCATGAAATGGAGATGGCGGTTAGGCAAATGTAATATGGGAAGCTGCCTGGTAAATGGAACAACAATCTAGGTATAGTGACTGTCAGTCTACTTGATCCAAATGTTAGGCTAAGCAGCAAGTCTAGAGGAAGAGTTCCCCATATATTTATCTATCTTTCTACCACGTTTTATTAACTCGCTTTCGTGTATATATGTTCGAGTCCAATCTACGAGTACTAATTGATTTTAAACTAACTTTATTTATTTATTTATTCTTTATTGCATTCCTTAATCTAAAAGAATACAAAGGGCGGACTTAATGCCTTGTGGCATTCTCTACCAGTCAACCCATGGAGTGGTAAGAATTTGAAGTAGGTGTAGCAATATAGAATAAAAACAAAATACAAATGATAATTAATTACGTTATATATACATTTTACTAATATATACAATAAATAAACTATAAAAATATATCCTATTTATACATGTATACAAATATATACGTACATACATAAGCATACATATATTCATACCAATATACAAATAGTACATATAAATAACTATAAATATATACGTCTAAAAATATAAATGACATGGATGATTCATGTCAGAAGATGATAATCACCAACTTTTTGAAAGCAAACTTATTGGGAGCTTTTCTGATGTCGTCAGGCAAGGAGTTCCAAAGACTAAAGTGTAGCCTGAACTGTAAAGGAGTTACCATAGAACTCGGTGAAGTGAACTGGAATACATATTTTGTTGTTAGAAGAAGAACGTAGAACCCTATCATGAGATGAGGAGAGATAGTGAAATTTACTCTTAAGATAAGAAGGCGAAAATGGGTAATTTAATATGGAAAAAAGAACAAGTAATATTCTGGAAATACGCCTCTGCCGGATTGTAAGCCAATTAAGCTTAGATCTATATTGCGAAATATGGTCATGCTTACGAAGCCCGAAAATAAATCTTATACAGTTATTGAGAAGGCGTTCCAGTTCCAGAAAATAGAAAGATTAACCGACTCAACAATTAAAAGAAGTTTTTTGGAACGAGGAGAGTTCCAAGAAACTTCCAGATGAGCTAAAGAAAATTTGAACATAGCTCAGAATCGGGTGGCAATGTAATATGAAAAAAATAACGTGGTATATTTTTTTAATTTGTTATGACTTATAAAGTTGAATCCGATTTTATTCAAATTATAAGAGCAATTCCAATGTCTACGTTAAACAACTGGTATATATATTTAAGTAAATAAACCACCTATGGCGCCGCCTTGTCTGTTCGAAGGTATTTATCAAAGAGCGCTCGGCGTGGACCTGATAACGCGGGGCGATGCTACTTACTACAGATTTATTACATCTAAACGAGATACGTGACGGTTTTTGCTCTACTAACCTTTAGCCAGCTTAAGCAGTAACATATTTTTACAAAATAGCAATTTAGCTGCTTGTACATGGTAGAGCCATGCTGCAGCTATATTATGGTTGTAGCACGAACGGGTCGGCTCGACCAGGGTAGAATCACGCTCTTGCAAAATACCAGCGTTAAACAGCAGCTTAATGCTGTTGTGTTTCGTATGGTGAGTGTAGAGAACCGGAAACCCTTATTACTGTAAACGAGGCATACCATCTTAGTCCTCAGATGTGACAATGCATCTGCTGCTGTAATTCTTAATCAGAGAGAAATGTAGATATCTATGGGTCACAGTATCTACTTACCATAAGGTATACTGTGTGCTCGTTTGTTCTATAAAAACCCCTATTCTATAAAAAAATAAGCCAGTGTTGTCTCAGCACAACATATTAAAAAAAGTTTATTATACGTCCGTATGTCGCCAGCTACGTCTGTCGTTTCTGTTTCCGCCCCGCTTTTATTACCTTTATATCACCATAAAAGTAATCACGCTCCATCCGAGATATATGTAGTTTTTGTTGTCAAAGACGCGTCGTCGCCGTGTTTCCGTTTGTCGTGTTATTTTTATAGAATAAAGGTGTAAAACGAGTGCACACAGTCCACCTGATGGTAAGTGGATACTGTGGCCTATAGAATTCCTCATCTGTCAGCAATTACGAATCAAAGATACGTTATCACCCCTGATTACTAGGATGGAATGTTATTGCTACACCTACGTCAAATTCTCACCACTCCATGACTTTTAGAGGTTGACTGGTAGAGAATGCCTCAAGGCATTAAGTCTGCCCTTTGTATTCTTTTAAGGAATTCAAAAGTATAAATAAATAAATGACTCGTATCTAATAAAAAAAGTCTCCGGTTCCCTACACTCACCATACGAAACACAGCAGTATTAAACTGCTGTTTTACAACGTCCATCTCCAGCTGAGGAATTCCGGCTTCATGAGTTAGCAATATAATCTCACATCTCTTCCGAACAATAAAACCAAATTGATGGATATTCAGCGGATACCGCCGTATTCCATCGCGAAATATTTTAGTGTAACTTGTGGCGGTACTTTTTGTTCGATCCCCGAGTGTCTCGATAACACTAACCTTTATTGATTTATAGCATGGACTTCGGCAGTTCGAAGCCTACATTTTTAGATATTGTATATGCCTTCTAATCCTAGCCTACTGGGATGATTAGTTTTTATCTCTGGAGCTTAACATGAACTGGGTTGAGAGGGATAAATACAGATGTATACACACATTAATTTAGCAATAATATATACTACAATACAAACATACATACATATCGTCACGCCTGTAATTTCCGAGAAGGTAGACAGAGCCCAAAGAGCAACGAGCTACTCGAACCACGTTTATCCAAAAATATGGTTTTGATGGAAAATTGTGAAAGAACACAAATCCAGTATCTTATTAATCACCTTTTACGAAATGCTAGATCTATAAGTCCCAGACCGACATGGGACATATATTTAACAAGACAGCACAAGAATAACAGGACAAGATATATTTTTATGTTCGTGTACGGGGTGGTACACATGAATTTCAAATCGTTTGAACAATATTTTTGTAATTAAACATGTTTCCAGATCACTATAAAGCAGTTTTTTAAACATCCTTTATTAATACAAAAACCTATCATATTTTCTTATACTCCGACCCACAGTCCAATCCGAACTTTACGAATCCATAAAAGTTATCATCGTTAGAGACTTCTAAACGGTTATACAAGCGTTTGCTCATATTTTTTGCAGAGTACATAATTAACCAAGATCTGGTCGTGTGATTGCTCCCATCTAATACTGCACTCAATCCCTCCATCTTCCTCCAATCTTATCACAAAGGCGTCGTGTCTCATATATAGTAGGGCAAAACACGTTTTTTCCTGTGTATTTGCTTGTACATCGGGCACGGTCGTAGAAATCTGCCGCAGAACATCATTGATATCATCTGAGGTTGTATCACTAATAAAATGAAGACAGCCTATTAGAGGTCGTAGTGACGGTGTAAGAATATCCACTACCCCATACCTGTGGGTATCTTAAGAGGCGACGGAGGAAACTGAAAGAGGGAATGGGCAGCAGCATATTCATGATAACAACTTAAAATTTAAAAAGCCTACGGTTGCCAAACCACCTGCCAAGCGTAGCAACTATGGCAAAATGATACAATTTATTGGGGAAGCCCATGAACAGAAGTGGACTTTTATATGTTGACTTTTATAGTAATGGTACAGCTTATTACAAGTAAAACTGCTCCTAACAAACCTTCTGTAATTCCTAAGAGAGTAAGTATTTATTTAGCAACCAGTCCGACGCGCGCCTCCATGTGCATTGGCGATTTTTACAAGTCTTTGAAATATTTTTATTCCTGAGACATGCAGGTTTCCTCACAATGTTTTCCTACACCGCCGATCGTCGATCGCCGAGCACGACGAAAATCAGTGCTTAAAACGGTAAACTACTTGCCAACTTGCAAGCCGGCACCAATGCGGCGGGAATTAAACTCGGGTTGCTCGCGTAGGTACTGTAAAATTCGAGAGCACTTAGTCCCTGAGCTACAGCCCTCACACACACACTCACACACACACACACACACACACACACACACACACACACACACACACACACACACACACACACACACACACACACACACACACACACACGCGCGCGCGCGCGCACACGCACACACACACACACACGCACACGCACACACACACACACACACGCACACGCACCCGCACCCGCACACGCACACGCACGCACACACACACACACACACACACGCACACGCGCACACACGCACACACACACACACACACACACAAATTGTATTACAAATATGTTATAATCCTTATGTTTGTCGACAGGGTGCTGAAGCGGAATCGCATCGCGTACATCGACGAGCGCGCCTTCCTCAACACGCCGGCGCTGCGCGTGCTGTGAGTACCGAAAATGGACGGCGTCAGTACCTTGCGCCAGATTAACAATATACCACATAACCTCAAAAATCATATCGCATAATTACTACACTCTCCGTACTTTTAAAAATATATTGAACGCCGTAATTTGTTATACCTAAATAGACAAATAAAATGGCATATTATGTTTCATCAAGTCCAAGCATGTTAGGAGAGTGGCCATTGTTCTTTTTACGGCTGCTCTTTACGTTGGCCAACATTGTGGCGAATGTGTTGGCAAAGATATTAGCCGAGAGTTTGTGCGTTCATACGTTGCAAGGTCGTTCAGTTTACTTCGGTTCAGGCCAATGTGCGGACGAATTTATTAAAATGAATATTGAGGGTCTAACGGCTGCTGCGGTCTAATTATTCACAGCATACCACTACGTGAATGTGCATAAGGAAAGAGTGATCAAAAAGAAAACACAAACACTTTTCGGCTCAGTAAAACTCTATAAAGCGAAAAGTTTCTTCATTGGTCATTGTTACTGCCATTATGTAGACACTAGTTACGATGCGTGCATATAAAATTTAAACCTGGTGCGTACCATCACTCTGGGAGCTCGTAGCAAACTAAACGTGTGCCCAACGCGTGCACGCTGTGGCCATCACTCTGCCACAACACTTTGATCTTTTGTAAAAAAAACCGACACCACGCGGATCTCACGCCAACTTGTGGGCCATCATTCCAATACATGCCAAGTGAAGCACAAACAACCATTCTACATGATGGCCATCGGTATTGACCACAACATTCGCCCAATGTTGGCTAACGTGAAGACGCCGCCTTTAGAAATAATCATAACATACAGCTTAATATTAATATTCTTAAAACAATTTGTGAGATCGAGCTAATTTAAGTTTCTAGTTTTAGTTTTTTTTTAATTATTATTATAATTTGTGAGAGACTGATGTCCATATCTACTAGGATACCCTGTATGAAAGTTCACCAGCCCCCACCTAAAGACCAGTCTATAATCCGTAATCAATTAAAATCAACTTCAATTGACTCGGTGTCCAGCTATCAAACTAATTAAAAATATTGCTTTTCGGAATTTTAAAGCTCACTGCTTTCTTTGTACTCGTATTTAGTATTTACGAGTGCAGTATTACATTTTTTAAATATATTTAAACTTTTATGCACAAAAGAAAAAGCGTACACATGGCGAACTTAATGCCTTACTTAAGGCATTCTCTCCCAGTCGACCATTAGGCTAAGCAGAGATATAAACATATGGGAGGTAGTGCAGCAAAAAAAAACTAATAATGAGGAAAAAAGGTAACGAAGTTCGAATAAACCAGAAGATATTCTATACATCTATACATATATCATAAAATGTAAATATATTAATACAGAGATACACATACATAAATCTACTTAAATATCTTTAAAAGCTCTACATATTTATAAATTACTGTACCGCTTGAAATTCTTTTTTTTTCTGTAGGATAGGTTGACAAACGAGCACACAGTCCACCTGATGGTAAGTGGTTGCTGCGGCCCATAGACATCTACATTTATTCTCAATAAAGAATCCAAATGCAGATGCGTCGTCACCCGTGAGGACTAAGATGGAATGCCTCTTTTCCAGTAAAATGGGTCTCCGGTTCTCTACACTCACCATACGAAACACAGCAGTGTTAAGCTGCTATTTGACGCTGGTATTCTATGAGAGCGTGGTCCTTCCACGGTCGAGCCTACAACTATACTACTAATATAGCTGCAGCATGGCTCTACCACGTAAAAATTCGTTAATTTTCTGAAATAATAACTTTTACAAACATTTTACTCAAAAACCTTACAATCCTGTGGCAAACCACATGTTTTTGTGTTTTAATTTTCTATATTTTTGTTGTGTTTATATTATGGTTAGTACAAGATAATCGTTATTATATTTTATGTGTTCTTTCTTATATATAAAAATCGATTTGATGTTTGTACACCATCTAAAAGCTTCACCCAAGAGCCCGCGGAAAATTTTCGCGCTCGGCACGGTTAGCATAGACTGGGGACAAAAATTTTAGCCCCCGATTATATCCACTGACAAGAAATAAAATTATCTTGTCCCTATGCCAAAGCACGGCAACGGGTAGAAGTATATCCCCGTTTGACATAACGAGTAGCATGGAGCCAAAATAAAAAAATATGCTTTTTTGACATTTGAAAGGGACAATTCTATCCTAGTTCATTGGACGTGGGTTTAAGTTTATATTAATATACAAAAAATCAATCTAAGTCTCTTTCTATCTCCCATTTTATCTACTGTGGATGTATATAAATAAATATTATTATTATTATTATATCCACCGGTGTGCCCATGCTCGAAGGGTGGATAAAACTAAGCGAGGGGATAAACATTTTCTCCTTTCGCCGGGGATAAAATTGTCCCCAGCCTATGCTAGCTGTACAGGTTCGTAAACGCTACCGACGCGACGCCTAACGTTTACCGAATTTCAATAAGGCGCCGAATGAAATCCCTTTTAGGCTTTAACATAATTTCTCTATAAACTAAATACAATTTTATCCTATCATTTCATGGTTGAAAGCTACTTAAGTTATCGCTGGATGCCAGGACTGGACTGTAGGGTGAATTTACTTACAATCGTTATTTTTTTAAAGTCAATCTCTCTATAAAGTGGTGCATATTATTATACAAATAAATGTACAGTGCTCATAAAATACGGGGATAATTCAGACGCTGTAATTAATACTTTTGATCCTGACGTCTAGTGACCATTAGAATAATTATGTATATAATATTTATGTACAGTAGAAAATATATTAAATATATCGCATTCTTGTTGTCATAGAGCGGCAGTACACACAACCACGATTTCGCATATTATCAACTACACGAAGTATTTATTTAAAATAAACGTAAAAGACGTAGTGAAGGTTCAGATAAATGATGTAACAGTTTTACAGCTGGCTTTGCTTGTCGTAATTAGCTTTCCTTAACAATGCAACGCATGACTCGACACCGCTGTAGATAGGGTTGCCAGCTCCCGTTTTATGATTTAGAGGATTTGATAACATTCAATAAAGGACATAGGATAAAAATAGAGGATATCATATTATCTATGTTAGTAAAACGATAGAGGTCTGCAGTTGTGCACGCATCACGGAAAAACTACTGGATAGATTTCAATTAGGTATTTTAAGTTTTATTTCTTAGACACTTTATCCTTATCTAAAAAAAATTATGATATCTTTATTTAATATAAAGTTGATAAAACTACTTTTACGGATATCGAGATAGATAGATCTGTAAAAGTAGTTTTATTCCATGTGTAGTGTTCGCGTAAATATAAGATATCATAATATAAAGTTATTAAAGTTTTAAGAAACAACGATTTTTATACGGGGTTTTTCAGACGGTCAACTGTACGTCGCTTGCTCTCGCGTTACTAACCCAGATAATTTATATATTTTAGCCACAAACGGAGCAACGAGTAACATTATTTGCAAAGCAATTTTATCTTTTTTTTCTTCGCACATACGGAAACTATGTTAATATATCAAACAACGCGGCCGAAGTCACGGGTATCAGATAGTTTTCAATAAAATGACGATATGGTATAAGTAGCGACATTTATTTATAAAAAAAAAACAATTTTAATACGCAATGTAACATAATTTTTGTCTTTAACATCGTGTGTTACCTCAACGTGATTTTTAAAATCTTTAACCTCAACTAGCAGAGGGTAGATAGGATACGTGCGATTTTGAATTGCCTTCTATTAAAGGTTTTAAATTAGAGGATAAGAACAATTTTTGGGTGTGAAATAAAGGATGTCCTTTAAAATAAAGGACGTCTGGCAACCCTAGCTGTAGATAATATACTGACTTCAGCGTGTGGTAGCACATGGCGCCGCTGCGAGCTGCCCTCGCTTACAAAACACAAATAACCGTCAATTATTAAAGGTAAATTCTTTTTAACTGTCGGAGCGATTGCCATTTGCCGGAGATGGAGGATAAACGTCTCTTAAATATGAATTGGCACACTTCCAATTTTTTATTTTGATAACCTGTAAAAGATTTTCAGACAATTTTGGTCCCCTGCCTCGTAATTTGTTATTTTATGATATTTTTGCAACTTAATAAGCAATATGAAGCGGGCAATTCGTGTAACGTGCGAGCATGATACATTTAGTCTGTAACAATTTCTTTTGGTACACATTTGAACCGCAAAGACCAATAACTAATTATTCTAGATGTTCAATATATTAACAATTCATAACATTAAAAAGCTGTAAACTGGTAGAATAAACTATCGAACATAAAATGTTCTTGAACAGTCACGACCCTTACGAAGGTTCTCGACCATTATGTTATCTTGCGCGACACAGATCTACTGTTAAATAAAAATAGACTCTTTAATAACATAGCGAGAAAAGAGAGAAAAATACGAACAGTAAACATTATAGTTCAAAAATTGCTTATGCATAACTTTTTTTTTCGAAATAAATTCAATAAACGTGGTAGAGCCATGTTGCAGCTACATTAGTAGTATAGTCGTAGCACGAATGGGTCGACTCGACCGGTGAAGGACCATTGTCTTATAGAATACCAGCGTAAAATAGCAGCTTAACGCTGCTGTGTTTCATATGGTCAGTGTAGAGAACCGGAGACCCTTTTTACTGGAAATGAGGCATTCCATCTTAGTCCTCACGGGTGACAGCGCATCTACATTTTGATTTGTAATAGAGGATAGATGTAGATGTCTATGTCCCGCAGCAACCACTTACCATCAGGTGGACTGTGTGCTCGTTTGTCACCCTTATTCATAAAAAAAATTGAAAAATTAATTAGAAATCTACTTGTCTTAATGTTTTTTTTTAATATAACGTTTGTTGTACATATATGTATACATAATCATTAATTATATGCATTGAATCTCGTCAGCTTTTTATAATTTAATTAGTAACGCTGTTTGATTAATATCGTCAAGAAGTCAGAAGCGATAAAGTCCAATTCAATGAACAAATTGCGAAGTTTGATACGGATAATGCAATACAAGAACTTTTTATAACTACGAGTTCATACCTAAGCAACGATTAAATATGATGATCAAGATTTCATCGACTGCCTTAATTTACACACATTTGATTTGCTCCAACGAACCGCCAAGAGTAAACAACAAATTATCGCGATAAGCTGATGAAGTATACGCGAAGCGATCAAAATGAAGTAAATCAACATGAATTAAGAACGGGATTTATTTAAGATATTGCTTTATCAAAGTCAAAGTCAATGTCAAAGATCACTACTCCGTGGCGCAATGACTTAGCAATGAGTTGTGGTCTATATGGTCTACAAATAATTGTTACGGGACTGGCAAAATTTCATCAAGAAGAGAACGTCAAAATTTCATCAGTTCACAAAAACAACACCTCAGAGAAAGACCGGCAAGAAAAATCTGGGCTCTTTTAACCCCGTGCTACAATTTTACCAATAATTACAACTTATAGTTAGATAGTATAACGCTAAATGTCAATGTCAATTTTAAAATGTCAGTTTTTACAAAAAAGTATCAGTAGCCTAGTGCAGAGTATGAGTTATTTTCACACATCATTGTCCTTAATTTTTGAATTTTGTATCAGATTTTTGCACTATACTTTTAAGTAATATGTCTTCAAACTTTATAAATTTACTCAGAAAATACTTCCCAGTTTTAGCTAATCTAAATTGAATAACCTCTAGCGTATCACCGCGATCAATTCTACAGGAGACATTACATATTTTGTTAAATAAATTAACATTTTTCCGCGCATACATGACATATTCATCAGACCCGGAGGTTACTTACGTATTCGTGAGCCGCGATCACTTCGATGTCAGCTGTGGTCTGAATCACAGCATCGAACAAGTATGTAATATTTATCGTGGCGTACCGCAACCTTGCTGACACGTTCAGAACAAGGAATTCAGTAGAATCCTTCAAGTTGCCGCGTCATCCACTATCATAGAACACATATAAATAATTTCGCAACTGTACTGTCTTTGATTTTCGCTTTCATTCGATGAAAAAGTTTTAGCAGTATACAAGCAAATTTCACAAAGGACTAGTAGCAGCATTAGATATACGCTGACAAAAGTTTTCATTACAAGCCTTTATTTCTTGGTTGTCGTTATATAGCTGCAACTTTAATATTATATACATATACATTTCGAAACGATATTGCAGAATTTTTGAATGATTGAAGGCTTATTTATTTATATATAATATTTTACACTTTTACTGTGACTTTTTGTGTAATTAAACATTTTGCAGCAACAGAGATATTTATTTATATATGATATTTTACACTTTTACTGTGCCCTTTTGTGTAATTAAACATTTTGCAGCAACAGAGATTAATGATTGTGTTGTTCACCAGGCGTTTGGAAGATAATCTCCTGACAGAATTACCGATCGCCGTGCATCGACTACCGCTGCTCGAAGACCTGTAAGTATAAATTAGCGCAAATGATGTGAGGTACAGGATTGCGGTTTCGAATATTAAAGTTTTTGTTTATATAAAAGCGAAGTGATGAATGAATCTGGAGTCTACCTCACATTAAGTGGACACTTGCACAAAAACTGCAAAAAAAAAGGAGACTACAGATTCGTTGTCACCTCTGAGAACTATTGTCGATTGTCTCACAGCCTCAAATTTACCTGGCTCTCTATACACTTTAGACCCTCGGACTACTAGCACCAATATTTGGCGGCAGGAGGTAAGAAAGAGGGCGGTGCCTGCCCAGGCAGAAAAGGAGTCCTACCACCAGTAAAGTTAGCAGAGAATTTCGTGCAAGTGAACATCACATGTTCTCGGAATATTTTAATTCCTCATACGCGGGTTTCCTCGTAATATTTCCTTCGCCTACGAGTATGTGGTAAATCAGCACTTAAATTTTACAATTCCATTGATGACGTCCAGGGATAAATATGGTTTGCACGCGAGTGGAATTAACAACGAGTGCCGATGTGAAATTACTTTAGAACTTTAACTGTGTCAGATATAGATATGCACAATTCATTCAATATATAGATTGTGAGATGTGTTTGTATAGATCAACATTATATTGTTATGAAAGGAAGCAAAAATTGTTATAAAATAATGGCATCTACTTTAAGATTTAGAATGAAAGAAAAAAAGCTAGCTGAGTAAATCTCCCTAAATTCATGAGGTTGTTTAAGAAAATGTTTATGTTATGGTAGCTTTATCGAAAAATATGGTTTTTTTATATAGAATAAGGGTGACCAACGAGCACACAGTCCACCTGATGGTACGTGGTTGCTACGGCCCACACACATCTATATCCTTCCTCGATTGCAAATTAAAATGTAGATGCGTTGTCACCCGTGAAGACTAATATGGAATGCCTCATTTCCTGTATAAAGGATTTCCGTTTCTCTACACTCACCACATGGAACAAAGCAGTATTAAGCAGCCGTGTTCGGGTATTTTGCAAGAGCGTGGTTCTTTCTCGTATATTTATAGATGTCTATGGGCCTCAGCATTTACTTACTACCAGGTGGAATGTGTGTTCGTTTGTCCATCTTACGTGTTTAAAAGATGTGCTAGTGTAGGAGTGTGGTGGTACAGTGGTGTGGTTGTGCGCAGGTCCGTGGCGCGCAACCGCGTGGAGGCGGTGGGCGCGGGGCTGCGCGCGTGCTCGCGGCTCGCGCGGCTCGACCTGCGCGCCAACCCGCTCTCCCAGCTGCACCCGCACGCGCTCACGCATCTGTCGCGCCTCATCACGCTGTGAGTGCTGCTGCGTTATTAATTATATAAACGTAATAATAAAACTCAAATAATCCGACTCTGGTGTCTTCAAAAACTAATTATAGTGCCCATTGTATTATCAACAACTGGCGTAATACCGAAGCGATTACACCAATCTATAAAGACTCTAAATTTACCACCCAACACCTAAATAAACTGTTACAGAAAGCTGTAATTCTAAATACATGCAGAATAGTTAGGATGTTTCTGCAAACTAAAGAACAGACCACAACTATACTTACGCAGATTACCGCTCAACCTGTAACTGTCTAACATACAGGTAACTGACTAAGGTATGGATATGATATGATCAAATCTAGCACTAATATCTGATATGCACTTGGCTTAGGCTCATGCTATTGGTAAACCGGTAGAAGCCGAGATCTTAAACTAAATAAACAAAAGTAATAATAATATATTTATTCATTCCATTATTAAATAAGCCATTTACAATTTGATGGTTCCAACCGATTACAACGCAAATGGGTGTGAGTTTGTGTGTCCGTGTGTGTTTGCTGCGTGTGCTAAGTCAGGATAATATACGTCATATATTTTTTATTGTTTAATTTCTTTAGATTTAAATAACGTTACTTCCACACTAGGATTTTCTCATGTATCATGGAGGCAATTCACGTACATATATTGCACAAGGACAAACATCCAAATCCGGAACGATTAATTGTAGGCAATACAAACACTTCTTTCGTGCGGGATTCGTATCCGCGACTGTCGCCACGAAATCGTCAGGGTTTAATTTTTACATTGTATATCATAAAGGCCTCTGCCTGCTCATAACTGAGAGTCTCAATCCACGTTGTTACACATTTTTTACAGACATATCTCAGACCAACAAGGAAATCTAATGCCGAAACCATGTTCAAGTTCTTGAAGCACTCATGCACACATTTTTCTTTTCTTTGTTTATTAATTATGTAATTATAAAAGTTAACATTTTGATGTTTTATTTGGTGCAAGAGTGAGCGAAGCGACATCGGGACTTGGGGCACCCCGACTCGGACAGGTTAGGATAGAAGGGGATGGCGGGGTCCAGTGAGTGAGCTAAGCGAGCGAACGCAATCTTTACTGAAGCGAGTGGCGTTTTTACAAAAACCCCTATATTTTTTCAGTAAGATTGAGAAATGTCTAATTATCCGTGTTTTCGCGATATCCCTAGATTTTTGCGGAAAATTCGGTTTATTAAATTATCCTACGATATGTAATACACCGTGCAGTGGCGGTGTAAGAATATCCACTACCCGATATCGTTCCGTGGGTATCGTAAGAGGCGACAGGGGGAAACAAGTCAGGAGATGGGCACCAGCGTCTTTCTAATAACAATTAGTAATAAAAAAATTGCGGTTATGTTAAAGTTCCACTTAATAAGCTTCCACTTCCAAGGAGTTATCCCTGGAAGTGGAAGCCTACATTCATCCACGCACTTTTAATAGGTTGTAACGGTAACAGTAAAGACATTCTACATTGTAAGGATAAAATGAAGGACAACGTTTTCAGTAAGCGTTTTTTAATAAATATGAAAGTGTTCGTAAACGAAAACTAATGTGTTGGGGATCCGTTGAACATCTGACTGTCGTTTCAAAATCCATATTGGAGAATATTTATGCCGCCGAATGTTTGCTATAAATAACTGTAACATGTGTTTATTAATAAACATGTTTAAGTGAACTTATATACTTGTAAACCTAAAGCCGTAGGATAGCTCGGGACTGGTGGTCTGCTCAATTTTACGAGTATGTACCCATCGACGACACTGCAAACGGTTTACTGCAATTTTAAGTACCAATTTACAATGTGCATGGACGAGATCTAGTGTAGAAACCATGTGTGTAGTACTGGTGAAAGAAATTACATATTAACGTTGCGTAGGTACTCTAATTTTTATATACCTGCATTTGAAATCGTTACCACTATCTGATTTATATTGTTTCATTTTTAATTATGTATTTATTTATTTTTATAATATAATGTGTGGCTTCATAGTCTTCGATTAATTCACACCAATATTTAATTTTACTGGGATTCCACACATTGGCTCTATTGCTCTAATTTTTCAGGTTTGAGTTCGATTCCTGATTTTGGCAAGTGACTTTCCAAAATTTCTTGAATGCATGTAGTTCTAGGTACTTATCTTTAAAATTAATATAAACTTACCTCTCATTAGAATTTCCTATCGTAAATATTTCGGTGTCGTTATTTCCTGATCGTTTGCGTACACTTATGTGACCTATGGAAGCGAGTTTGTCATAATTTCGGTACTCAGCATCCAGTACAGATACTGTTGTAATTGTGTGTCTGATATTTTATTGAAAATCATTTCAACAATTGCGGCTGTTGCGGCAAAATATCCGAATTATAATAATAAAAATGTCCTCTAGACCGATTTTCGGTCACGGTGGCCTGCCCAGGAGAGGATAATAGTGGCCAAGTGTATGTGCAAGCACAAATGCACTCTATATTCCCTTAGTCTCATAGTGACGGTAAACCGACACGACCGGAGAGATGTTAGGCGCAGGACCAAGGGCTTTACGTGCTATCCGAGGCACGAGGGTGAGACACCGGCAACTTTCTAACTCCGGGCAGCTACTGAGAAATTCTTATCGGGAAAACCAAATAACTGATTTGATTTGATTTGACCCGATCTGTGTTTCGAACCCGGGACCGCAAGATCATCGGTCGCGTTTACTAGCACTAGACCAGCGAAGCAGTCAATAACCCAATAGGCCATATACCGGTCTATTTTAGGCATTTTATGTTTATTATGAAAAGTTAATAAAATTAATTCTTTTTTCAATGAAAAATTACTAAACATTTTGATTGGACGCGATTCTGTAATTTGTCTAACGGCGTCTGCGAGTGGCTTAAAACGTCGTGATTATATGCTCTTTGGAGTGGCTGTCAGCTATCTGTCGATAGATATAAAACATGTGTCTGTGGCATGTCTGCTACTGTCTGCCACGCTACGTACCAAAGAGTAGATATTCACTACGTTTTACGATGCACTAGATGGTGTAACGCATCATATCACGCGATTAGTACCTACCGAAATGAAAATATCTTTTTTTATAGATGCACACTAAAACCAGTTAAAATAATGAAAGTGAAAGTTTAAAAATGTCACAAACAATCGTATTTCAGATCATTGAGGTGATAAGAGAGAGCTTGGTTGGGAAGTGTTGATGCATCCACTATATAGTCCTGCCATTGGTCCCTCAGATATTTACCTGTTTCGGTCTCTTCAAAATTCTTTTGGTAGAGTTAGGTTAACATAAAGAGAGGATTGTTAAAACTACTTTACCCAAGATTTTTTAAGCAACGGGATTATGCCACTACCTACAAGATGGCAACAAGTTATCAAACAAAATGATACACATACATTATTATAAAATTTAATTAAACTTTGAAATATAAATGGTTTCAATTTGTTTATAAAAGCTCTATAAAGTTAATCTACAAACTCCAGCAGATTATACTTATTACACTTATTAAATTTAAAAAAACTAAAAACCATCTAAATTCTGTAGTTGGCACTGTTATTTTACACTATTTAAATAGTGAAAGTGAAATTTTAAAAGTAATCTTAACATATAAAATCACTAGCTTTTACCCGCGACTTCGTCCGCGTAGATTTTATACGATTAGTAGTGATTAAAGTATTTATTTGGATAAAATCAATTTGTTACTGCAAAATATGCATTGGAAATAAAGTATCAAATTTTATTGTATTTATGGTTCAATATTTTGGTAATAATGACTTAAAGATAGATGTATAATGTCGCGGTTTTTTTGGTAGAACTATTTAGGAGAAACCATTCCACCATACATTATATTTGTGTAACTTTTACAGTTTTTGCACCGCATGCCAAAATAGCTCGCAGATGACAAATTTTTTTCCGACTTGCTTAACGCTTTTCGTTATATTTTGACAAATTTACACAATATCTTTATTAATTATAGCATATGTGTAGTTATGATGTGCTTATAACTATATAGTTATATATTATTGTAAAATTTCATTAAAATACATTTAGTAGTTTTTGCGTGGAAGAGTAACAAACATCCACCTACCTCCATACACACTCACAAACTTACACGTTTACAGTATTAGTAGGATTTATAAACTTATAAGGAAAAAACATAACTCAATATTTCATTTTTAATAGATGTCGCTTTTTTGAAAACCTACAATGTAAATGTAAAATATACTCACAACAACTAGAGCTCTACGTTATCTCCCTTATGACCGATGGAGCCAGCAGCAGCTAGCATGTAAACATCAGAAACATCTAAAGACGGAAAACACATCACATTATTAAGACACAGACAGGATGGTCTTCCATTTATGCACTTCCTTGCTTGTATGAAAAGTAGCCCAGTAGCCTATATGCTCAGAATCATTAACTACTTACCTATTTCACGAAAATTATTCCAGTATTCTTTGAGTAAATCGTAAAATACACAGACGGACAGACAAATATTTATAAAAATTATTAGTTTGGCTTCAGCATCCTTTGTTTAACACCTAGAGTATTTACTTGTTTTCTCCAGAAAGTATTACAATTACAGACACGATTTTTCATTAGTAATGCTTATGTATACTATAATATAAACATATAAATAAAATTGAAGTGTCTGAGTTGTTTGCTTGCTATTAAGCCATAAACAACCATCTTTAAATTCTTGTCTGGCTGGCTGGCTGGCTGTCTGTCTGTCCGGATTAATCTTCAGAATGGCTGAACCGATCGTGATAAAACTTTGCGAACAAATAAAGAACAAAGCTAGGAGTGATAGGTTTTATCCGAAGAACTTGGACATTTAAAAAAGAAACGAAAAATTGATAAAATAATTGGTCTTTGTTTATTTTAAATGTAAATAATTGTACATTATTATATCCTATACAGGAGAAGCCGTGGCGGGTCGCTAGTAAATAATATATCATTACATATTAAACACGATGCTTAGTG